ATTACAACGGGTAATGATGACCTAAACAGAAAATAAATGTTGAAAACACAGATCTGTTTTTGTACCGCTGACGCCACACGAATTCGTGAAGATGCGACGTGAACAATCGATGCAGTTTACGCTTGATGAGCATCCAAAGATTGTCCACGTTTCGAGTATGGGTGGTGTCTTCATCAGGATCCAGAAACTCTTGACGATGAATAGTGACGTCATGAGAATATATCACTTTGTTGATTCCTCGTTTCCAGCATAAGCAGTTCAGCCATCTGAAACAATATGGCTTCCAGGGTGAATATACCGCACAATCGCCTCTTTCAGAGACTCTGCTAGCCAATCTGTCACATCGATTAAGAAACACTTTCCCAAACGCTGGTCGATGCCACCGAACTCCTAAAGACCAGGGCTCCATTTGTTTCATCTATTTCATTCGATATAAAAATGAGTTTAATTTACGCCGCTTATGTGAAGGCTTACCAAATAATTTTATGATTCTACAAATTAAAAATAAACAATGATTTCTGAATCACGCAAAAAAAAAGAAAAGAAACGAACATTTTTAAACTTCTAGAAATTCCTAATAAAGAATTATGCCTCCGTTCCACCATCTATACACACAGGCTCGTTAGATAGATGACCCGCTGCCTTTCTTGTCCTTTTTGCCTTCGATACGCCCTGTGAGTGTTAAATTTTCCAAGCCTTCCTTTCTCATTATGGGCCCAAGAAATTTCGGCTACATTTCTGTTGTCTCTTCATCTGTAAGAAAATTATCCAGCATTCACTGCCATATTGGAAAATTGATTTTACATGGAAGTTCAGCATTCTTTTCTTTGTTTCTAACGAGTTTTTTTCCTGTTTCTTAATTATTTGTTTAGTTTTTGAAAGACACCTCTCGCTGTTTCAATGCGCACTCGGATTTCGGTGTCACATTTTCCTTGCTCTGTTAAAACACTTACATAAACAAAAACTGAAATGAGTGAATCTGCATAAAAGAGTCTAACATATTTATAAACATTTTCCATTTTGGGGATAAAAAGAAAATGAATTTTAAAACTACTTTTAGAATTGAATAACTTTAACAATATATATTTTATCTGATAATTTCAAAATGCTTCTTTGTAATTATTATAAAGTTGTACCAGCGAAAAACTTGTAACAGGATGAGGGACCCTCCACCTGTTGAGGTATGTAAAACTCCTCAGGAGGCTTGAAGCGGCCAGTTATAAGTCAAGTGAGATCCTGTTTTGGAATATGAGTCTAGTAGAAAAATAAAGAAAAACTTGTCAATTAATCTGATTGCGGATTGGTATGAATTAACTCCCCCCCCACACACACACAAAAAATAACGAAAAATGTTAGTCGCAATAAATAAAATCAACCTAAAATAAATGGAAGACCATGGCGAAGGTTGAACCTTTGGACAACTTAGTAAAACGTATGAAATCGTTTATAACTAAGTAAATATCCAACCTCGCTCCTCTCACCACCCCCTACTATCTGAGTGAGTTAACGGTTATCTGTGTGCCAAAAAGCATATTTATTTTAAATAGTATTAAATCAAAATCCTTACTTCCATTCGGAAAGAAAGCTTGATTTAAAAATTTCACGAACAAAATTTAGCTGTCAATAAGTGGGCAGCTGAGATTTCGAACAATGGTGTACCTTGATGACATCTGGGTAATTCTCAATCTAAGTAAACGAAGGGGTGACTGAGAAGGCGTTTTTTATTTGAGCATGAACAAGGGCAGATCATTCGCTGCCACCTGTAGTCACGTGATAAATTCCTGCATGAACAGAGAGACTTGTAACAAACACACATACACAATAGCTCCAACCATTAATGAATGTAAGTCAAACATAATTTTTTTTTTTTTTTTTTTTCTTCTCTCTCTCTCTCTCTCTCTCTCTCTCTCTCTCGTTACATAATGAATCAATTGCTAGGAAGGCATTTTGGTCACCTCAAGACTTGGATAGGTTTACTAATATTTTCAAGGCATAACCCATCACCTAAGATACAGAACATAATTAAAACATTTTAAAGAATTTAATGTTAAATATTAAATGTTGTGTTCCGAAAAGAAATCTCAAAAACATTCTTTATTTGTGTCATCATCGCTCGACTGAATCCCACCCGAGAACATTTCGACTGAATCTGAGAGACTTCGTCGTTTGATAAATAGCGTTTCAGGCTCCACTAACAGAATTGGACACTCACAGGACACACTGACGGCAAGAGGGACAGAGAGAAACATGGAGTATCCTCCCTAAATACCTTCTGTAAATGTACGACAGAACAGGGACTGGAAGGGAGAGTAAAGGAACCAACATTGTTTAGAGATACAAAGAATAGGAAATCGTGAAGAGCCATAACCATCATCGTCATGAAGGACAAAACATATAAAAGAACTTAAAAACTGCTTTTATTTAATCATCATACAGAACCTTTTCTGCCTGCCATCAACATGGCTGTTGTTAACCCCCAGAAAAGCAACTCATTACGCCTTCTTGGGCTCACAATCTTCCGTTAACATGAAGTGCTGTGATTATATTGAAACAACTGGAAGGTCTACAGGTAGCAAAGTTTGTTTACTGTGTCTTGCCAGATAAATTTTCCTTGTCAGAATCCATCTTTCACATGTATAAATCACTAATCGGCTGTGCCTTGAATATTACTACCATCGTCTTGTGCCTCTACTAAATATCTCGAGATTCTTAACAAAGTTCAAAGGGTCTGTAATGTAAATCTATCCTGACCTGATATCACGACTTTAATCATTTTCTCACCGACGTGACGTGGCTTCCATATTTCTATAAATATTTTAATGGCAATTGGTGATTCGTCTGCGTGAATTCAAGCGTGCGACCAGATAGGCAACTGAGTTTTGCCGTTTTATTGTTGAACTTGCTTGATGCAAGTGTATGTTCTATTCTAATAGTTTATTTTCTTGCACCTTCTCAAATTTAGATCTCACTTCCGGTTTCTTGATTCCTTGACACCTACAATCTACAAAAAATTAAATGCAACGCCAATCTCCATCTTCTATGTTCCTGAACCCTCGTCTTTTATTGTCCTTTCAACTCACTAAAGTCTTCTCATTCTCTTTCCCTCCCAGTAACCATTTGTACATTAGTGGCATTATCGCCTTGCTTGGGGTGAAAAGATTAAAAAAAAATAGAATTATGGCTGAATCCCACCAATCACAAAGAATATTTTTTGTGATTCTAGCAGCTGAGAATAAAAAAATGCTTTCAAATTTACTGTCCTTCCCACCATCGTTCCCTCATCCTTTCACACAAGCTCGTTAGGTAGATGACCAGCTGCCTTTCTGTCCTTTTTGCTTTCAATATGTCTTATGGGTGTTAAACTTTCCAAGCCCCCTATCTCATTATGAGTATAACTGTCTTTTTTATTGTTGCTGTTGGCATTTTCCTTTTCCTTAAAATTATTCTAATAGATTATTTTCTTGCAACTTCTCACCTGTGAAACTCACTTCCGATGTGTTGCTTCCCTTCCGGTTACAATCGCCAAAAAATTATATGCAACGCCAATCTCTATCTTCTGTCTTCCTGAATCCTCTTCTTTTATTGTCCTTCCAACTGACTAAAGTCTTCTCATTCTCTTTCACTCCTACTAACTCCCGTGTACCATAGTGGCATTATCGCCTTTGTTTGGAGTGAAAGAATTTAAAAAAACAATTATTGTCTGCTAATGTATATCAGCCATGTTTTTCGGAGTTGCCTACATTCTTCAGATTTTAAATATTTCTGATAAACAAAACATAAATATGTACGAATATATACGTCCATATCGTCATGCGTGTATTCTAATGAAAAGAGACACATATTTACAGATTCATACAAATATAATCAAACAAATGCGCAGTAATAACCAGATCTATTTAAACAAAAATAAATACGCATGCGCATATGACTTATATCGAATGACTTGATCTCACGAAGCTTAAAAGAAAACGTGTCCCGTTTGTCTTGGTATTGATGGCTGGTAAACAACACTGAAGCGGTAAATAAAGTTATGGCGCACGGCGATTTAATATTGTGTTTGTAAGTTTATTAGTCACGCTTTCTGAGATTGAAATAATTAAGAATCGTGTCCCAAATATCGACTGAAATATAGATTAGTTGATGTGAATGTATGATCATGAACCTAACACGCCAAGAAGTGAGCCTACTTGTGTAAGACAGAGAAAATATTACAATAATCTAATATTAAAAGAAATATATCCAGAGATTAACCTAAGCTACTTTAATTTCCCATAAGAAACCAAAGTAGAAATGTAACAACGAAGAGATCTTAACAGTATTCATTTTGTACAGGGTGTGATGGGTAAACTGTCGCCATTTCATATTTTTAATTTCGCGCATGCGTGTTGTTGTTTTTGTTTTTTTGTTTTTTTTGTCGACTGCACAGTATAGTAATGAAAATAACACTGACATCTCATTTTTTAACAGATATATTTACCAAAATGACACAAAAATATCTTCAAATACTAAAGAGTACATTTATTCAATAAAATCCCCTGGAACTCTTCTGGACGGTCTCCTTATTTAAGTCGGTGAATGCTGCCATAATCCTTGCCTTCAGTTCATCTTTCATTTTACAAGGAGTTTTGTTGTTCTCTCGCTCAACTGCGTCCCACACATAATCAAGGGGGTTGCAATCTGGGGAGTTAGGTGGCCTTATGTAAGGGGAGATTTGATCGCAGATTTGATCTCAGATTTGATCGCAGATTTGATCTGCCAGCCATGACTGGGTTCTCCTCTTTGTATGGCATGGTGCAGAGTCCTGTTGCCAGACATAGAGTCTTCCAGCAGCAACCCCCTTGACCTAAGGCAGCAACACTTGATGTAGGTCTCCGTGTTCAGTCTGATTTGTGCCTGACGATTGCCACCTGCTTTAAACTCAGAATTGTGTTATAGGTGAAGAACAAATATATATTTATTACTTGTATAAATTTTAGTTCTGTTATTTTACGTTGAGAGGCTTACGACCACATCACGATGAAACATTGGATCCCGTACTATCATCGAAGTTAAGCAACGTCGAGCCTGGTCAATACCTCGATAGGTGACCGCTTGGGAGTACCAGGTGTTGTAAGCTTGACTGTGCGGGTGGTGTAATGGACAATGGCTCGGAATTGTTAATTTGAGAGCCGAGTTCCAATTCCAGGCGGGTTTGTTATATTCGATTATGCGCAGATAAATTTGGAAAAGATATAAATCCGTGAACCTTCCGCCCGCCAGCCGTAGGTTAATTAGTAAGACTTATATTGCTAAAATCATTATCATCTCCAAAAAAAATAAACTTGCGTACAAAATATTTAGATTTCGGCATTAAATAATGCATAGAGTTTGATATGCTACTAAACAAAAACAATCAAAAGAATTTTACGTCGAGTACTGTTTTATTACCACCAGCATTCATTCTGTGCTATTTTGTGTGCAATCTCGTCTCGTTTGTATGCGAGATTTTGAAGTAAAAAGAGCATAAATTACTTCGGCTGTTAACCATATTTTTAAATTCGATTGCTTTAAAATTAGATTCTTAAATATTTGCCTTAATCTTTAATCGACGCATTTCACTTTCACCTGGCTTATTTCGCCCAAAATTTTGATCGTCCAATTATTATCGCTTTTGTCCCTATCTGCATCTATTTGTACGACCTAGATCTAATTTAAAATTAAAAGTCTCGTAAATGTTCAGCTGTAACTGTTTAAATATATCTGGCTTAATTTAATAGCACCTCTTTAAGATAAGACGTCACACGTATGTAGATGATTTTCATAAAACGTTGGCCTTGTAAAATCCGAGCTAGCCTTGATCAATTGCGTTAAAGCTGAACGCTGTACGCTCAGTGGCGCATTTATCTGTCATCCCGCTTCAGGACTTTGACGATCATGGCTCTCTACAACTATCAGGTCATCCCATAAGTTCTGTCCGAATTTTACCTTTTTTTAAAATGAACGAAATTTAAAGAGTATTTTATAATGTCTAATGGAGCTGAACATTATTTTTATGTTTAGAGCATTTAAACTGATCAAATTTTATTTCAGAGAACAATAAAATTAAATTTTGTTTGATTAAAACCCTGCTAACTTGGAAGTACCCAAGAATCATTTGAGTCACATAATGCTTTATGAGTTCAAGAAAGAAAACTCAGCAGCCGAAGCGGCTAGAAACATTCACTCAGTTTATGTGTGAATGAAAGAACTTGCAGAAGATGGTTTGCAAAATTCAGAGGTGGAGATTTCACCCTTGAAGATGAAGATCGAACCGGACGTCCAGTTGAGTTTGATGAAAAGCTTCTTGAAGTAGCCCTTGAAGAAAATCCTGCTTTATCAGTTGAGGAATTGGCAGTGGTTCTCAGTTCAAACCATACAACTGTTCATCGTCATCTTGAACAACTTGGAAAAGTTCCTAAACTTGGAAAATGGGTGCCTCATGAATTGTCTGAAAACAACCTCAAATCCCGAGTTGACATCTGCTCTTCTCTCCATTCTCGCCAACTTGTTTCACCTTTTTTGCATAGACTTGTGACTGGCAACGAAAAATCGATCTTTTATCGAAATGTTAAGCGTAAAGGGGAAGGATCCCCAGCCACAGCCGAGAAGGGGACTTCATGGGAAAAAGGTACTTCTTTCAATCTGGTGGGATCGCCAAGGAATAATCCACTTTGAATTCTTACCACATAATGCAACAATTAATGCTCAAATAAACTGTCAGCAATTAGAGCGTTTGAACCAAGCTTTGAGGAAAAAAAGACCTGCTCTAGTGAATCGAAAAGAGGTGATGTTTTATCAGGACAATGCACGACCCCACACAGCAAGAATCACGTCACAAAAGATCGAAGAACTTGGTTGGGAGAAAATTCCTCATCCACCTTATTTTCTCGATCTTGCTCCTTCAGACTACCATTTGTTTCGTAGCTTACAGAATCATTTGGAAGAAACAGCTTTCGTAACACAGGAAGAGGTTAAGACTGACATTTGTGAGTTCTTCGAATCAAAGCCAAAAGAATTTTACAGTAATGGAATTAGTAAGCTTGTTAATAGATGGAAGAAAGTCATAGATAATCAGGGAAAATAATTGTTGATTGAATCTGTAGTTAAATGTAACATTTGGTCACTTGTTTTCTTTATTCAAAATTCGGACAGAACTTATGGGATGACCTGATAAGTAACTTCTGATGCTTCACCGCCCTTCTGCCATCTATTCGCACAAACTAGTTAAGTAGGCTACTGGCTGTTTCTCTTGTCCTCGATACTCCCTGAGAGCATTAAATTCTCCACTCCTCTTTTGCTCATTGTGTCTCAGAAATTTCAACTGTCTTTTATTGATTGCAAATATCGGTTTCTTTGTTGGCTCTATTTTCAGAAAACTTACTTCCTCCGTTGCTCACAAGCTGTCGATGGTAGTTGTCGATAGAATCACATATTTGTCGCATCAAGTCTCTTCTTCATTTATGAAAAGATTGTCCATAGCAGTTAAGAACTTTTATCCTCCCCTCAACTATGGGTTAAATAGCAGGACATGTATCTGAAAAAAAATCATTATTATTCTAAAATAGTGTTAATGTAATATTCAAACGCAAAAATAATTAGAATCCAAAATGTTTTGATTTTAAATAACTCACAAAGGGATGATACGCCGTAAAAATCAATCAATTCTAACATTTTTCCTATGTCTTAATACTTTGCTTATTTTCTGGAAGACATTTTTCGCTATTCCTTTGGGTTTCCGTATTATATTTCCATTGTCAGTTACTACACTACCCAGTTACATTTTATTTAATACTATAATGCTTAAAAATTAATAACGCGTACATTCGTCACAGTCCATATAAAAGTAGGTACCTCCACTAATTCAGTATACGTAGGATTTAAAATAAATTTCTAAAGATGAAAAAACTTTCATTTTAGCTTTAATTGAAAGCTAAATGATTTAATTTTTATAAATTCCAGTGAGAAAATACTCTGTGGTGTATTTCAAAGAGAAATTATATTGATTAGAATCATTTTTTTTTCAGAAAAATCGATGAAATCGGCCAATTTGACACATCTGTAAACAAAAGTTAATTCTCGGTTTACAAATTTTGTAAAAATAAAATATTTATGAAACGTTATATGAGGAAAATTAAAAAAATTTGAAGTTAAATTAATATGATTTGAAACAAATATTACTTATAACATAAAGTGTTGTATACAAGCATTTCTTAACTACGTGGTCTTGTTTTTCTGACATGTTAATCGATTTATTGACAGCCAAATGACCGCCGAACGTGTTCATAGTTAAGTATGGGGAAGCAGACAATAAAGTTTACATGAGGGTTTTTTTTTTCGTGTGTGAGTAGAACCCTTAAAACACGTGACCTTCTAATGATAATGTTAGGTTTGATTGAAAATTCTGCACATATATACACATACAAAAACAAATCGAAATTCTTTTTAAAATATTCGAGGTCGTCAGATTGTAATAAGGTGTACAATATATGATTAGTAAATATAGTTTTACTTAATAACAATATTTCCTAAGAGTTACCTCTGAAACTCTATTTTAAAAGATCACTGTTTCAAACTTGACATTTGTAAATAAAATGAAATACAGGTAACACTTTAGGGATTCAGGGTTTCATTTTATATTGTGTTTATACTATAAATATGACCCGTTTAGAATTATTTTAAAAGATTAATACTTGTAGATTCTCAGAATTATTGTTGCTCGAGTAAGGTCTAATGAATATGAACATAGATATGAGCAAAAAACTTAAAAGTAAAGGTAAAATGACCAGCTCCCTGTACCGCTCCAGTAAGTACCTGACTCTACGTGCTATCCTCTACCTTTACAAGAGCCAGATCAGGCCAAAAAATGGCGTACTGTTGTCATATTTGGGCGGGAGCTGCCCAGATCACACTTTGCAGCCTCGACAGAGTCCAAAAGCGTCTCCAAGCCCTTGTGGGTGACGAATTATTTTCCATCCTCCAATCTCTTTCTCACAGGCGAGATGTGACGAACCTCTCGCTGCTCTATCAGTACTTCCATGGGGGAGTGCTCGGATGAACTACATTCCTTGGTTTCGCCAGTTCTAACCTTGACGCCAAGGACTCACTACGCCACTTACATCGTAGCAAACCACCCACATCCCCTCAGTATTCCATCGGTGAGAAGAACAGCTTCTTCTTGAGAACCACTGTTATGTGGAAGCGGCTCCAAAGAGGATGTTTCCCCGAATTAGGAATAACCGTTATCTTCCCTTCCTATACGTACAAACTGCCTCCTAACATAACCCTCTATTTCGAGTGGCCCTGGGCCTTATACAGGGTAAAAATTACTGTAATTTTTTTTTAAAAATATACAAAAATTATTTCCAAAAATATTCTTCCTTATATTTTATGAGCGAATCAGCCAATTTAAGTAGTGTAAGCAACTTAGTGCACTTGATAATATCCATCATCAGACTTACTATATAACAATATATAAGAACCGATAAATGAATAAAAAAATAGAGATCAAATCTTTAGCATCAGTCCTTATTACAGTGGCAGGCTACACTTTGGTAGCGCAGGAAACTTGCTTTGTAAAGATCACTTATTTCCTTGTAAAAGCTAAAATATATCTTATAAAGGATATCAACTGAAAATCCCTAAACTTGAATTGTTGAGTTTTCTGAAGAAAAAAAAAAAAAAACTTTAGTTGAAACACTTTAATCGAGAAAAACTAATTTATTTTTATTTAATGCCGAGAAACTTATAAAACCAGTGCTGTAAAGAGCCGGTCCCTAATTTCAAATGTATATTCCTTCTTGGATTTTCTAAAGCTATTATATATAAATTATATTCTTTTAAAGTAGTGCACCATTTCTACACTTTATCAAGCTCAGTGTTTTATCAAAAGAAAATACTGACGTCCATGGTGTCCAAGGGCTGCAAATGGAGATACAACGACTTTGTCTATATTTTTGAGATGAGGTATTATGTAAATTATTTACATTATTCGGTCTATTGTCCTCATTTTGTCGCCATATTTATTACGTTTCGGCCGTTGTACGCCCCGGCCTTCTTCAGGTGGTTGGAATGTCGAACTGAACCCTTTATTTCGCTC